GCGTTCCCCCAAAGCTGTTCCCCATTTATTCTGGTAGCACTCGCACAACTTCAGAAATCGGTTATGATCCCCATTCGCGGATAGCCGTAGGTCGTGGGACTGCTGCCCCAGGCAGCCAGTGCTGCCCTGAAGTCCATCCACAGCTCTCCGCTTGACGTGCGAACTCTCTTCCATATTGACAGCGCAACCGTTGCTCTTTCTTGCAGCACTTTGATGGGAAAGCGATGCCTCCCTTAAGGTGGCAAGGCCTCCTCTGTCTCCGATGCTGGGCCCCTCAAAGACTAGAGGTCTCGACGGTGTACTGCAAGTGCCCCGGCCTCTATTCGCTGCCGCCTCTTGAACCTGAGAGCTGTTCTCCAGGCTCCCGACGACGACCTGCTCTCTAAAAGCTAGTCCATATCTTACATAGGGACCTCCCGTCCTGCTGAAAAACTTGTCATGATCTCCATTGGCTGGCTCCCTTTGAGTTGGTAGAATTTGTCCCATGCTAGCAAATCTATGCTCACCAGCTGCACCCGTCCGCTGGACATGATGGCTCTCCCTCATGTGAAGAGTGCCATGATCGTCTAGACTCACGGTATTACCCTCTACATACCGGGTTCCAGGGCTGCTGCTTATTGTTTTCCAGCTCGGATTCGTCATATCCTTACCGTTGTGAGCAAGGTGTCTGGAGCCGCGGTGAATATCTGCATAATGTCTGGGTCCCAACGCTGTGGCACATTCCAGCAGTTCCCGTTTTAGATGTATAAATCGCCGTATGCTTTCCTTCGTAGCACTTATGTCGCTTGCCGTATACTGCTCTCGTTTCAAAAGTACCCGCTCTTCCCACAAATATCGTCTCGGCTCTGGCCCAGCCGGGACTACGACCTCTACCAGACGACTGCCCTTGCCAGCGGTGAAGGAAACGACTGGCTTTACACCACCATCTATGCAGTCGTCGACCAATTCACGAGGGTCAATTCCAGGGACATTTGAGCTGTACTGCTCATCCTCGGTTAAGTAGGAACCCGGCTCAAGGCCATCAGCAATAATCAAATCCACGGGAATACCTTTTGCATCGCCAATAACGTAGTACCCACATGGAGGAGGCAAGGGGGTGCACAATGATTCCCTGTCCATGCCCGGAAGGAGGGGCAATCCGGTCACAGGCCCCGCCGTGCCCAAAGTACCAGTGCTCAATGTTAGGGGAACGTCAACGGTCGATGTCATAGGAGTCACAGTGGCCCATCTGTTGTTGGACACTACATTGCTATGAGTGGAAAAGGCCACATTTCCCCGTATAGATGGCTTCGAAAAGCTCGGTATCTGGCGAGACTTTCTGTCGGATATGGTGGGAGTCGCAATGGTCGGCATGAAAAAAGACGCAGTGCCCAGGCTAGGGCACGCAGAAGGGCAAATAGCGCCTGTATGTTCTCTGGGTGTAGGGGCATGTATTGATGTTAAGGGTATCAAGGGAATCGTTTTAGGAGGTGCATGACGGCCCGATGCCGGGGAGTTATGAGTTGCAACTCTAGCTGAAGATCCCAGGCAGGGGGTAGGAGGCACAGAAGAGCTGGATATCTGCGGAAGAGGGGGGCTAGCTGAAAAGGAAACTCCAGTGTTGCAGTTGGGTGGAGGAGGAGATCTCGACGTCAGGGAAATCGTCGACCTCGCTGTGCTCTGAACATCTGCGGTGGGCGACGAAGTTGTCACGGAGCTTGATGGATGGCGAACTGTAAACACCCCCGGAGTCTGCCCCACCGATGGCCCATCGACAATTCTAACCATTCGCCGGTTGCGTTCCTGGTCGTCCAAGCCCTTTCTACTCCCGCGCCCCCTGCCTCCCATCATCGCAAACCGCACCACGGAGTGTAGGCACGAGAAAAACAGAGGATTTCTCGTCTACAACAGCAGACACACACACAATGAATATACGATGAATCCTCTGGAAGAATATTACTGCAGATAAGGAGAATGGATGCCTGCGGCATATGTGCAGAGGAAAATGCGCTCTGGCCACACACACCAACCATTGGTCAAGTCTGCACCCCACAGCAGATACTGCGGCTGTCTTCCTGTCTGCATTGCTGCCACTTGCTACATCACACAGCACGGAAGGGTGTCAAGTGCACATGAGCACTTCGCAAGCTTTTGAATCCTCTCCACTGAAGAAGTAAACGAGCCTTTCCTTAAGCCGGTGGACCTTGCCCCCTGCTAGGTGACGTCCTCCTAGGCTGCGCTCTCTCCCCCTACTTACCAAATTCTCGTTGTGTAGATGAACTGTCTTATCCTTTAAAAGCCTTTTGAGAAGCAGCAAACAAAAAATAGGGTTGGAATTCAAGTAATTCAGATAGTGTCGGTCGTGGCTCACCGACGCCCAGGAGTGGCAGTCCCATATTTGATCGGGTCAGCTGGGGTGTAGAGGGTTGCCCGGCACAGTATCGGAGTGAGCCTGCACTCCAAAGGACCAGCTCCAACAAAGGAGAGTGTGTTAATTCCAATATTCTTGTAAGTGAAGTTAGTGAGGTTGGGCGTGTTAGCGGTTCTGTAACACGATGAAAAAAGCGTCATTAACTGTCAACTGGAGTCCTGGGTGTCTCTATTCGCGTTTGCTTCTCAAGCCGTATGACTGATGATAGTAGTAGTAATTAGAAGTGCAGTAGTAGTAGCAATAGTGGTAGTTTGAGTTTGTTCTATGTTCAGTAGTAATGCGAGATAAGATTATTCCTAGAGACAATACAAATGGGCAATCGCTGCAGTATTGGCCGCACTAGGCTGGGAAATGCACCTGCGCATGTAGCGCCAGCTGCAACAGTTGGCTATTGAGAGTCAACCAAGTGGTATACAGTTCTCTATCGTGCAAGGGTACTTATACGGAAATGGTTTGCGTATATTTGCATATGTGCCTGC